TTATATAACACATTTATTATATAATTCAAGCCCCATCATGATTGACTCAACAGTGACTCACTCTCCGGGGGCTTGGCTAAATTCAGATTTTTTTATATATATCCTCTGGTTTGATTAACGACTCATAATTGCAACTGAAAATCAACATTTCTCCAGGTGTCTTTGGTCAACATTTCCCCAAATTAAAATTGGGCACTCACTCCATGGCTGTTTGTGGGACAATGCTGTGCGCAAACTGTATGCCACATTAACCCCTTTAGAGTGTATCCTGTGAAGCGTTTTGAGATGTCTCAATGACATGATAAGGCACTATATCAATTGCAATATTATTATATAGAAATAGAGTTAGTATAACAGAATTGTATGGTTAATTAAGACTGAATATGTGCACAAAAAGACAAAATATTCAAAACAAAATATCTGTTGTCTCTCCTCTTTCATAAGGAAGTTCCATCTTTTGGATCTGCAAGACAGGTGGAGCATTCACCATGGTTCTTGATTTAAGAGAAGCAATTTAGATAATATACCCAACCATGAAAATAATCTGGACCAGGAATCTGGTTGTAAACTGATGGAAATCCCAAGAAACAGGAAGCATTGGTTTTAATCTTAGAAGTCTGAAGTTTCAACCCATATAAGGAAAAGGATAATCTTAAATCTTCTGATTGACCCTGGGAATTATCTTGTAAAAATCCATTTGGCAAAAAAAGGTATTGACTATTGAAATACTGACTGACCTTACAATTCAATAGCTCACATATTCAATTCTTTTTTGTAAAATTATCAAATATATTCAACACCTTTTTAAACTAGCTTAGGGGTGCTTGGTGGAGCAGTACATTAATCAAATAATCAATACAGTTGTATATTACTGCAAGTTGCAGTATGAACACTCTGCCAATCTCTTAGGTTTAAGACTCATCCTTTACCTCTGATGATGATTTGCCATAGTAAAGCTCTAGACATCAACTCAGCCAGTCTGTACATGCTGTATTAAATTAATGCGAGCACCACATTTTGAGAAGCAATTAGCTGCTCCAGTGATGGTAAAATAGAATATGTAACCTGGACAGAGAATTCAAGGTACATAGTTCAGATAAATGCCAGTAATCAAAGTGCAGCATGACACTGACACACATTAGAAAAAAATCAGAGTCCACAGGACTGAGCTGTTTGCATTTCTCACTGAATGGTCTCAGAACATTATTGCACTTTGTCTCGTCTTTGAGCAATTACAAAAGCTAATTTAATCCTAAAACAGAGTAAAGGAACATCACATGATCCATTTACATTCTGCCCACCCAACAATATATACTTCGATAGGGTTGAAGACGATGGTCGTGCAGTATTTTAGGCAAATCAAAAATAATTTGTTCCCTTTAAGTTGATGCATATCAATCCTAGACCTAATGCTTTTCTGACAAGTGAACTTACTTTCATGTTGATGAGACAAAGAAACAGTGCTGAAAAACTGAAGAAATCATAAAGTTCCAGCAAAGTATCACTGCCTTACAGGTTCTAAATTCAAGGAATATTTTTTCATTGGAGATCCATAATGAATGACCATATTCTGGAAAATGTAAAAAAAAAACCACATCTTTTATAAAAATGTAGAGGATTGTTCAGTGGTGGCCCTCTAACTGAGACCCCTGCACTCTCCAGGTTTAGAAAATGAGAAGCTGAAGGTTTCTTTGCTCAGCGTAATCTCCCAGCAACCCCCCTCTGCTTCATAGGGAGAAACTGGCAAGGGGGAGGGGTGGGCATCAGGAATTGAAGCAAATTAAGTCATTTGTTAGCAATTTGCCTGAAGAAAAATAAAGTAGTAGCTAAATCAGAGGCCAGTCAACTAGCTGAATAATAAATTGTACGTTTTTCTAAATACATTAAGACTGGGTAATTGTAGGAACTTTGTCTAAATGACAATTGAAACAACCGTGAATTTAACTGTTTGCTGCAATCTTTTGTTACAATGCATCAAAATTCACAACATTTATTTTTAATTAGCCCTAATTCCCAAGCTCCGTCACAATCTACTGAGGAAAACGATGAGAACAAAGGTGCAAAAGATGGTCCCTTACTTAGCTTACTACATTCTAAGAGAAAGTGGTAGGGCGTTAACCGATGGACAAAAGACAGCAGTAATATAATGTAAATATCTAATCTGAAACTGGTACAAATCTTTTCCAAAAATGATATCACATTAGCATCTATTTATTTTAATTCTAGCCTTTGCATGTCTTATACTGTGTGAAATGACTAGCAACAGGAGGCTGATGGAAAGAAAGTGCCTTCACAAAGAGAAAATGAGACTCTTCTCATTAGCTTACAGCTGATGGCTATGAACAATAAGTCATGAGGTGGAATGGGGGTTGGAAGAGCAGAATTTGCTTTACTGCCTCCAAACATATGTCTGTAACAATGACTGATGAAAACAATGTAGAACGACCATCTGCTGGGTTACATAAAGTCGAGCTGAACAGGACAATTCACAAAGAAATTGTAATGAAAGAAAAACTTAAAACCAAACAGAAATATATGGTACGGATGCGATATTCCATAAAAGACAAAAACATTCACCCTGTCAATCTATTCACTGGAAGACCCAACACAACCTGAGAAAAGTTGGATTGAGAGACAACGAGTTGTGTACCAATTCACACAAAAGCAGCCATTAATGGGGGGAAAAGCCATTTTTTTATTAAAAACACATTAAGTAAACCCAGCTGGGCGAGCAAATCAAACACAGTAGCTAACTGATAGAATTATAGACAGATGGACTACAAATGCGAAGCTAAAATACCCAAAGGAGTGCATATGCATTTATTATCACCCATGAATAAATTGTGGTTACTGATAGGACTTATTTCAAGGGGAAAAAATCATTTGGCAAAGAATTATTTTCACAAAAATAATCTGATATGTCTAGTTTTACTCCAATGGCACAACTACTGCTCCATACTCATAAACTCCAGTTATATGAATATCGCCGATTGTGTAAGAGGTCAGGTCATGTCGTCTATTAAATAAATGAAAGCCTTAATATTTAATAAATGAATTAGCAAAATAAACGTAATTATAAGATACAGCTGAACAGTGAAACCTTATCATAATTTGATGTTAAATCTGATGTTATCTTACTTGAGTTTCCATTTGCTGACCTGCACTGTATTCTGCAGATTAAATTTAAAGCAAAGACTGTATATTAAACATTTGACTCAATGGGCAAACAGAAACTAAACCATTTACAGTCCAGAATGGAGGCAAAAATAGAGCACCAAAGCCAAGCTGAAAGTTACATTGCTGAAACCAAATGTGGAAATTCCTTTGGAAACAGGTGGATCAACGGCCGTGTCGTTCACTCCCCCACTCAGTGTGTGTTTTTTTAAAAAAAAACACACAAGAATCAACCCCAATGCGTTACCAAAAAAAAAAGAAAGTTGGGCAACGAAATTCGTTGCCAGTGTTGATCAGCTAATTAAACTGGTGCTCGTTAACAAGAGGGGCTGGGAAGACAACAGTTGTCATGCAGCACAAATAAGTTGTTCAGCAGTGACTGACTGCAGTGCACCATCCCTTATGAAGTCGAGACCACACAATGCCGAAAGTACAATGGAATCAGTCAGACAGGCAAGTGAGGCAGGTGATGCCAAGCGATGCCTTACAATGGCAGATTGTCCTGCCTGCCTGTGCCTGGCTGCCTGACTGACTGCCTGTGCCTGGCTGCCTGACTGACTGCCTGTGCCTGGCTGACTGACTGCCTGTGCCTGGCTGCCTGACTGACTGCCTGTGCCTGGCTGACTGACTGCCTGTGCCTGGCTGCCTGACTGACTGCCTGGCTGCCTGACTGACTGCCTGGCTGACTGACTGCCTGTGCCTGGCTGCCTGACTGATTGCCTGTGCCTGGCTGACTGACTGCCTGTGCCTGGCTGGCTGACTGACTGCCTGTGCCTGGCTGACTGACTGCCTGTGCCTGGCTGCCTGTGCCTGGCTGCCTGACTGACTGCCTGTGCCTGGCTGACTGACTGCCTGTGCCTGGTTGCCTGACTGCCTGCCTGTGCCTGGCTGACTGACTGACTGCCTGTGCCTGGCTGCCTGGTTGCCTGACTGACTGCCTGTGCCTGGCTGACTGACTGCCTGTGCCTGGCTGACTGCCTGTGCCTGACTGACTGCCTGTGCCTGGCTGCCTGACTGACTGCCTGTGCCTGGCTGACTGACTGCCTGTGCCTGGCTGACTGACTGCCTGTGCCTGGCTGACTGACTGACTGCCTGTGCCTGGCTGACTGACTGACTGCCTGTGCCTGGCTGACTGACTGACTGCCTGTGCCTGGCTGACTGACTGACTGACTGCCTGTGCCTGGCTGACTGACTGACTGCCTGTGCCTGGCTGACTGACTGACTGACTGCCTGTGCCTGGCTGCCTGGTTGCCTGACTGACTGCCTGTGCCTGGCTGCCTGGTTGCCTGACTGACTGCGTGTGACTGACTGACTGCCTGAGCCCTGTCATTGGGATGGAAGGGAATGGGTGGATGGGTGCGTTGCAATGGGATGCGCCACACGGCTGTCAATCTGAGTCTGATTTATCATATTAAATAGGCAAGTACGGTCTAACACACACACACACACACACATTTTTATATCTTCTTTAAATAAAATTAAATCTATATATATATTTTTAGAAAAGCGTCGTCGTCGTCCCGTCCCCACACACACACAGATCAGATCAGACAGATCAGGATCCAACGGGTCAACAAACACAACGACGACAACAACAACAACTCTTTGCCGTCGGTTCGGGGCGGCGCCGCCTCCTGTACGCGCGGTCGAAGCGCCTCAGAGCGCTTCGCGAAAAAAAAAACCACACACAACCCCCCCACACACACACACACCCACCGGCACGAAGCGTCTCATTCTTTCTTTCTACCAACCGACCGACTCCATAGAGTAATACAAACGAAAAGACCACCCGCGGGCCTCCCCCCCCCCTCACCCCCTCCCCTCACCTTGTGAAGCTTCCACATGGCGCCCAGCGCCTTGACGTCGTGGGCGCTGTGCTTCCCCTCCTCCAGGCACTGGTAGCAGACGGGCGTCCTGCAGTGCACGCAGTACATGCTGTGGTTCTCCAGCTCGTGGTCGGTGCAGGTGGACACCCGGCGCGAGCCCAGCCGGCGGCCCAGGCGGCCCTGGGCGGGCGGCACCAGGCGGTGCTTGGCCAGCGGGCCCCGGGGCGGGTGGCACCTCAGGCGGCAGCCGTCGCAGTAGCAGACGTCGCACTGCTCGCACATGGCCGTGGCCTCGCGCGGCGCCGCCTCGCACAGTTGGCAGCGCGGCGCCACGGCCCGGCCCTGCTGGTAGCGGTCCAGGATGGCCTCGAGGATGCGGTTCTTCGGGAAGCCGCGCAGGCCCCGCTCGTCCAGGATCAGGCTCCGGTGGCACTGCGGGCAGGTCAGGCACGCGTTGCGGGGCGCCGGCAGCAGGGCCAGGGCGAGCGGGGCGGGCGGCGGGAAGACCCGGACGCCGTTCGGGGAGCGCTGGCACGGGGTGGTCGGGGCGCTGGCGAAGCCCGCGTACGAGCCGTAGCCGCTGTCCGCCTCGCTGTACAGACTCATCTTGTCCAGGTCCAGGTAGTCGTAGTCGGAGCCGCCCGACGCCCGCTTGCTGGGCAGCGGCTCGGCTTCGGGAGTCTGGACCAGGATGTTGCGAGCGCAGGTCAGGCACAGGCTGTGCGAACACGGCAGGAGGATGGGCTCTCGGAACAGAGCCCCGCACACCGGACACTTCAGCTCCTCTTCCATGTCCTCCATGGGTGGCCCGACTGGAGAGGAGAGGCGCCGGGGATGCGCTCCGACTGTCTGACCGACCGACTGACTGACTGACTGTCGCCCTGGAATTAAGTCGACTGTTACCCCCTTTTTGTTGTTGTTGGTCTCTCTTCACACTCTGTGTGTGTGTAGTGTGTGTTTCTCCGAGAACAATTGGTGCAACAGCAGCTCACAAGACCCGACCATCCACCACCACCACCACCGCCGCCGCCGCTTCTCTCTCCTCCAGTGACGAGCGCAGCCGCTGTCAACCTGACTGACCGTCACTCTTCTTTTTTTTTCTTTCCCTCCTCTCCTCTTCTCTCCTCTCCTCTCCTTCCCTCCCTCTCTCCTCTCCACTTGCGCTACTCGCCGCCTCCAGCCGAGCCCATTGGTCTGACGGCTGAACCCACCCTGTCAGTCAGCTGCCGGCTTTTCCATGCGGTTGGTTCGGGTTGGGGACGGGATTGGGATCGGGCGGTTGGATAATAATCCCAGCACTTGATTAATAAGTGCCCCCTCGTCGCCCCATCATGGGGACGCCTCAAAGCGCTTCGCAGAATAGACCGTAAAGCGGGGTCACCGGGTATCTTGTGGACGAAACGCGGCGGTCAATTAATTGCGCGCAGCGACCCCATCACATCCCACGTGGGATGGGATGGGATGGGATGGGAGGTGGGAGTCGGGATAGCCATACAAGCGGTGGCATAGGGTTCGAAAGTTTTTTGGATGTTCGTCTTTTATCCGCGGGATGTCCCTGTTTGAGGTTGTGTCATGCGAGGCGCGGAGATAAACGATCGGCACAACAGCACTGCTTCCCAAAGAGCTGCGTTTCAGATGTCGCAGTTTCTATATTTTCTGCACTGACTGTATCCACAGTGTTATGCTGCCTACTATTTTTATTCCAAATGGATCGAATTGTATTTCGGGTACAAACCAAAGAATATGGCTTGTTATCAAAAGTGCTAATGTTTATGCACTGCAGTCAGAGGTCATAAAATGAAAGGGCAGAGCAGAATAGTTTAGTCCACCTTCACGGACCAGGTTGGCATTTTGAGACAATATAACACAATTATACATCCGTAGCAACTACAGATTTTCTACTTTCCTTGCCGTCCAAAATAAACATCCTTGCAGTTGAAAAATATTTGATATTGTTCGTCAGGAAGACATCTCAAAGCTCTTCATAGAATATACTGTAAAGTGTAGTGTTTTTGTATCGTGTATTGTAGGGGAATGAACATAGTAAAGGGCCTTCATCAATTGAAGCTCTGATCATTTCCTTAATATTGAATTTGATTATATTTCGCAGCGAATTTACAGCTTTTCAATTTATTACTTTACATTACAATGCAACACAAATTTACATTTATATCGTGCCTTTCACATCAGGAGGACATTCCAAGGTCCTGAAATTACCATAACAGATTATTACCATAATATTACCATAACTATTCTTTCTAACTTTATTTGACCTGCCTATTACTTGCAAAGGCCAAGATGACTTGCCCATTATATCCATATAGAAATGTTACAAGGTGTGGAAAAGGACCTTACAGGAAAACTATACAAATGGAAGAAAAAAATTATGAAAGAAGTGCTGTGAGTCTTATATTTTTATGTCTTATTTTGGCAGTTCAGCAATTTGGTTATAGGCAATTTGCAATGAACCTTTGGAAAGGATTGTTAACCAGAGATACTGATGAGACCAGCACTGATTCTGATAAATGTCGTCAAATACATAGTGAAATGTACCAAGAAGTAAAAAGTGCTGTTCAACATAAATTCTATAAAACACAATGTTCAATGGATGATGACATTTACCATACCATGTGTAATAGTTTCAATGGTCGGACTCCAGCAGTACCCCAACGAACACTCAGGGGTCCCAAGCCTTAACTCTGGCCAACCTGCGCTTAAGACTTTCCAGAATTAGGTAACAAGATGAGTTCCTCAAGGGAGAGAGTGCACCCATTCCAACAATCTATCTCTGGAATTTTCATGTGTAGTTGGGATTCATGGAAATCCCAGCTGGCTTGAATACTCTTCAGTATGGTGATGGCTTTCCACATGTGTCCGTGCCCCCTACTGACCAAAAAAGTTTAACAGATCACTGCCAACAGCAGTGGTGAATTCTCTGTGACTTTTGAGCTCAAGTGCTTACTTTTTCAAGACCAAGGAACAGTGCAGAAGGTCATATAGTAGCTGAAGCTGAGATTGAATAGCAATGGAGGGGTGCATTTTTACTGCACTGAGGAACTGAGGACACTAAGCTGACTGAAGACATGATCTTTGGTCTACTTCGTCTGTTTGAACTGCATAATTTCAATTCCCACACCCGCCACTCTCTGAAGAAAGGAAGGTAACAATGCAGGCTGTTTGACATGTTTGACCCTGGCAATTTGCTCGGAGTACAGAAGTGTAGAAATGAAAGGGAAATGAGGCTTATGGAGTGGAGTCACGTAGAAGTTTTCTTCTTTCTTCGCACTTTAAAAGATAACCAGTTTCACCATTTCAGTTTTTTGATACACTATGAACTCCCAACTACCTAAGGAACGTCCAATACAACACTAGGTACACAATGAGGGAAGCTGGTGTATTTATATACCTGCGACAGAATCTACTTTTCTGTCGTATAACCATCATTGTCAAGGACAACCACAAGACTCTGAAAATGTTCAGACGTTCCAAAATGTGAACTGAGTGCAGCCATGACAACAGCCTCCAAGTGCGTCAGCTGGGTTGCTATTCCTTACAGTGTATAAATAGTTTTTTTTTTAACTTTTATTGCTGTTATTCTGTGGGTTTGGTAGATGCATTGTCACATGGTTGGCATGATAATTATAATGTATCTGGTATGATTGTCATGAGTTTTTTTTCCAGCAACATGTTACTGGGAAACAAATTGTGTACAGTAACTGCATTGTAATAACAGAATAATAGATAGTGGGTGTGTATCACAGAATTTTATATTATCTGTAATTATTTATATTATCCTATGTAGCATATCAGCTTCCAACAATGTGTATATGTTGTTGCATTATAACAACAATAATAATCCTTGCATTTGATATAGCGCCTTATCGCATCTTCAAGATGTCTCAAAGAGCTTCATAGAATATACTGTAAAGTGTAGTGATTGTATAATTTGTGGACGAAACGTGGCAGCCAATTGCATTGGAAGTTGGAGAATATTATGTATTTGGCCATGTGTTTACAAGCGGGTATGATTCCACACACGACACTAAACCAATATTGGATCCTCTATAGATATACATGATTTCCTCTGACAATTTGCATTGTACATTTGTCAATTGTTCTTATATTTGTTTCCTGGATACCATTGATTTAATATTACTTTTGTTCTGGCATAGTTAATTTTTAAAAAAAAAAATTTGCCAAAAGGTTAGAATCCATTCTTCCCTTTTTATTGGGGAGGGGAAAAGATAAAAATCTATTTTTTCCATTGCTCTGACCTTGCTTTCTTTCCTATAGTTTATGCATATTACCTCTTCTCATATTCTGCTACAGGATGCTGCCAATTTGCTGCACCACTGATTTTGCTGATCTGCAGGGTTTTTGATTTTTAAATAACACTTGACTGTGGATACAGTTGAATTGTGTCTGTGCTGTTGCATGGCAGCACCCCACGGCATGACTTAAACATTTACTTTAATTATCTTAAAAATTGGCCTGAAATGTGCCAAAAGGTAAGAACCATTCTTCCCTTTTTATTGGGAAGAAATGGCAATACATCTACATTTTCAGGCAATAGCAGACCAGAATACTGAGTGAAAACGATATGCTAATCTCTGAAAGCTAATAGCTATGGGAAAGGAAATTCCAATTACTGTACAGAACACGATGTAGTCCATGTTATAAGGTGGACGGGAAATGTTTTTTTAAATGGGTATTGTAGATCAATGGCAATTCTCTATTCTGATCTCAACTGTTTATATCTTAATTACTGTCAGACTCTGACATATTTAGATCATTGTTGCAAATCCATGCTCGCTGAAAAATATATTTATCTAATTGAGGATTGGAGCTCCTACCCTAGTTCCAACGAACTTTATTTTGGACAAAACACATGTTTTTAGGACTAAAGGTTTTGTATTAATAAGACTACACAAAATGATTCAGATGCCATTTTTACATTGAGATTAGATTCATCATCCAAAGTAATCTTGCGATCTTGATGCAATGTTTGTATGTTTGTTTGTTTAAATGTCAATTGAAGCTTTATTTTGATGGTATGTCATAGAAAATAGATTAGAAGGTACACATATTGTGTCATATGGCAGTAAAGGATACATTAATTTGAGGGTACCTCCAGATTATTCACCAGTCTGTACACATTCATCTATCCATCTAATAAGGAGCAGCTGTCTGAAAAATAGCAAGCGAAATTACAAAGAGAAAGCTGAGAAGGCCAAACTGTATTGGATAGGTTCGTTAAATATCTAGATTGAAGAGAAGCTGGCTGTTAAGAATTTTGAAGCATAGACAGAAAAACTGCAACATTTTGTAAATTGGCTGTTGTGTTTGATGGGTTATATAAGTGTTGGTTCCCCAAAGGAGATTTTGTCTGTGGTTAGTTTTCATGAATCTTGCATTAATTGTAAAACACTTCTGTAATTCGTTTTCTTGGTGTTAGATACTTAGTGTTGGACTAATTAACAAAACAAGTAAGATCTATAACAAGAATAAACAAAAATTAAATGTCAGCTAAATAGTTAATCTGTTGGTAACTTTAATGAATATGTTGCTTGAAAAGTGAGACCACAATAGAAATAGTTTAATTAATGGGATTAATGCTGCCTGTAAACTACATTCATTTGGAACATTTCCTATGTAGCTTGCTGCAGAATGCTTACTATATTTAAATAGAATCTCTGCTGGTAATTGGTGACCATGGTAGCAGATATTCAAAGCTTCAACTTTTAATTCAGACCATCTGCTCTGATATACTGTGATACATTTTATTAGAACTGTTTTATGGA